AATTCACTGACTGGCTGTGATTAGAGTCTCCTGCCCAGGGCATACGGGTGTATCCTATCATTTTAATCTCAACAAAAGGGACGGAAAAGCCAGAGTGAGGAGGAGTCCTCCCACTGGGGGTGGGCTCCCGCCTGGCCCCACTCCCCAAATTAAATCTTTTCCAGTCTCTTCATTCCTGTGCGGCCTTCTCCAGACCCGAACCCTGAACCGGGACCCTGAACCACGCGGGACGTGAAAAGGGCTTCCACATGCATGTGCACACATGTGCGCGCACACACACAGCCAGAGAATACGCATTGAGCCCCCGATTCAAAAAGCTTCATGTGTGAACTTAGCGTTTCCCTTTTTCCTTCCTCTCACCTCGGCCGGAAGGAGGGAGGGTCCCCATGGCCACAGTGCCGTCCCCTCCACCCAGCTCTGCCTCCCTGCGGCTCTGACCCCGCTCTCCTCACACCTCACTCACCCTCGCGCACACACGTACACACGGCAGTGCACGCACACGCGCAACCATACACACAAACACACACACACGTACACACGGCAGTGCACGCACACGTGCGAACACACACACGTACACACGGCAGTGCATGCACACATGCAGCCATACACACAAACACACACACACGTACACACGGCAGTGCACGCACACGTGCGAACACACACACGTACACACGGCAGTGCACGCACACGCGCGACCATACACACAAACACACACACGTACACACGGCAGTGCGTGCACACGTGTGAACACGTACACACGGCAGTGCACGCACACGCGTGAACACACGTACACACGGCAGTGCACGCACACGCACGACCATACACACAAACACACGCACACGTACACACGGCAGTGCACGCACACGCGTGAACACACACGTACACACAGCAGTGCATGCACACGCGCGAACACATGTACACACGGCAGTGCACGCACACGTGCGAACACACACGTACACACGGCAGTGCACGCACACGCGCAACCATACACACAAACACACGTACACACGGCAGTGCACGCACACGCGCGAACACACACACATACACACGGCAGTGCATGCACATGTGCGAACACACACATACACACGGCAGTGCACGCACACGCACGACCATACACACGTACATACGGCAGTGCGTGCACACACGTGAACACACACACGTACACACGGCAGTGCATGCACACACACGAACACACACGTACACACGGCAGTGCATGCACACACGCGAACACACACGTACACACGGCAGTGCATGCACACACACGTACACACACGAGAGTGCATGCACACGCACGAACACACACGTACACACAGCAGTGCATGCACATGCGCGACCTACACACACACACACACGTACACACGGCAGTGCATGCACACGCGCGAACACACGTACACACGGCAGTGCATGCACACACATGACCATACACATACACACACACGTACACACGGCAGTGCGTGCACACGCGCACACACCCATTGCTCTACCCCAGGCAGGTTAGTCATTAGGACAGAGACGTAACTGGGAAGCTCCTTGGCCCTCGACCTGAGCCCCCCCAGCAGAGACCAGTCACGTGCCGCCCTTTCTCACCGAACCCTCCTCCCGCCGCCGGCCGTCCACCTGTTCTCTTTCCGTCTTCCTGTTGAAGGTGTTACCTGCGTCCCTTCCCCATCGGCCTCTCTGTCTGCCCCCCCAGGCCCACCCTCCGTCCGCTCTGCGGGGTGCGGGGTGCAGACACGCCCGCCCGCCGCCCTGCGGTCTGACAGCCACCAGCTCGGGCTGATCTATTCCTGTTCCTCCGCTGGCGGTTCTCAGTTCCCCCTCTGAGGGGGTCCCGTGACACGTGTCCTCGGGACGGGCTGTGTGCCTCCAGGATGCTCTCCAGGCCCCGCGTGCTGGGGCATGTGAGTGCTCTGCCTCCGCCAGCTTCCCTGTCCCCACCTCCCCTGGAGGGGTGCACTTCCTGTGTCCCCCCCTGGAGGGGTGCACTTCCTGTGTCCCCCCCCTGGAGGGGTGCACTTCCTGTGTGTGTGTGTCCCCCGTGGAGCGGGTGCACTTCCTGTGTGTGTGTGTCCCCCGTGGAGCGGGTGCACTTCCTGTGTGCCCCCCCCCTGGAGGGGTGCACTTCCTGTGTGTCCCCCCCGGAGGGGTGCACTTCCTGTGTGTGTGTGTGTCCCCCCCGTGGAGCGGGTGCACTTCCTGTGTGTCCCCCCTCCCCCGTGGAGCGGGTGCACTTCCTGTGTGTGTGTGTCCCCCCCCGTGGAGCGGGTGCACTTCCTGTGTCCCCCCCCGTGGAGTGGGTGCACTTCCTGTGTGTCCCCCCCGTGGAGCGGGTGCACTTCCTGTGTGTCCCCCCCGTGGAGCGGGTGCACTTCCTGTGTGTCCCCCCCCGTGGAGCGGGTGCACTTCCTGTGTCCCCCCCCCGTGGAGCGGGTGCACTTCCTGTGTGTCCCCCCCCTGGAGGGGTGCACTTCCTGTGTGCCCCCCCCGTGGAGCGGGTGCACTTCCTGTGTGTCCCCCCCCCCCCCCGTGGAGCGGGTGCACTTCCTGTGTGTCCCCCCCCCCCCCGTGGAGCGGGTGCACTTCCTGTGTCCCCCCCCCCGTGGAGCGGGTGCACTTCCTGTGTGTCCCCCCCCTGGAGGGGTGCACTTCCTGTGTGCCCCCCCCGTGGAGCGGGTGCACTTCCTGTGTGCCCCCCCCGTGGAGCGGGTGCACTTCCTGTGTGCCCCCCCCGTGGAGTGGGTGCACTTCCTGTGTGCCCCCCCCGTGGAGCGGGTGCACTTCCTGTGCCCCCCCCCGTGGAGTGGGTGCACTTCCTGTGTGCCCCCCCCGTGGAGTGGGTGCACTTCCTGTGTGCCCCCCCCGTGGAGCGGGTGCACTTCCTGTGTCCCCCCCCGTGGAGCGGGTGCACTTCCTGTGTGTGTGTGTCCCCCCCCGTGGAGCGGGTGCACTTCCTGTGTGTGTGTGTGTGTGTGTGTGTCTCCGTGGAGCGGGTGCACTTCCTGTGTGTCCCCCCCATGGAGGGAGGAACACTTCCTGTGTGTGTGTGTGTGTGTGTGTGTGTCCGTGGAGCGGGTGCACTTCCTGTGTGTGTGTGTGTGTGTGTGTGAGTGTGAGTGTGTGTGTGTCTGTGTGTGTGTGCGTGTGTGTGTGTGCGTGTCCGTGGAGCGGGTGCACTTCCCGTGTGCCCCGTGGAGCGCTCCACGCCCGGGCACACACTCAGCCCTGGCGCTCGGTCTGAATCCCAGGAACATAAACGCCACTCATCCCACTGCGTCCGGCTCTCACCCACGCCGGCTCCGTGACCCGCAGCACACAGAACGATCAATAACCCAGTGATCAATAACCCAGTGACCACACGATAAACAAGACAGACCCTCAGGGGCTGAGCCACAGGCAGTGAGAAGCCAGGGCCTGTGGAGGAGTGCACACCCGGGACACCCTAACTCTGTGACCCACGGACACGCAGCCGGTCCCCGGCCCTGCCCACCCTCTGCACCGCAGCTAATTCCGGGCCGTTCTGAGCACCCGAGAGCAGGGTGCCATCGGGAGCCAACTCACCCCACCAGAGGAGCCCGAGTTCCTTCAGCTCGGGTTTGCACTGTTTGCTCCGTAAACAAGAGTAATCAGCCTCGCTGGTGTGGCTGCGGACTGAAGGGTCCCGGGTTCGATTCCGGTCGGGGGCATGTACCTTGGTTGCGGGCACATCCCCCGTGGGGGGTGTGCGGGAGGCAGCTGGTCGATGATTCTCTCTCATTGATGTTTCTAACTCTCTGTCCCTCTCTCTTCCTCTCTGTGGAGAACCAATAAAATATATATATATTTTTTTAAAAACCACCACCCAGAGCCACGGATGTTTAAGGACTGGTCGTGTTTTTGGGGTGGTCTGATGTAGTTTTGGGTCACATTTTTTGGGTGGTCAACTATGTATTGTTTACAGGAGGCCTGGCTGTGACAGACCTAAGGAATGAGACTCGGTGCTGCTAATGGAAAACATATTCTCCGAGAGGAGCGATATTTTCAGTTGTGTTTTTTTATAATTGAATGAGGCATTGTGAGACTCACGGGTGGAGAAAGCTCCGAAGGGAGAGTTTATTTAAAAGACCATTTGGAACACTAGCATTTTTTAACTATTACTGACTAGAGGCCGGGAGCACTGATTCGTGCACCATCGGCCTGGCTGCAGGGATCGGGCCGAAAACCAGCTCTGGCGTCCCCTGGGGTCCCAGACGAGAAGGGGGTTTTTGGTGACGACCCCAGATCAGGCTCCCTCCTCCTGGTTCCAGGTGGGTCACCCGAGAGCCACAGCTGCCAAGTGACAGCGGCTCCTGCCCTGAGCACCTGCCCCCTGGTGGTCAGTGCACATCATAGCTCCTGGTGGGACAGTGCTAGGCTTTTATAGAGAGAGATTTCAGGGAGGAAGGGGGAGGAAAAGAGAGAGAGAAACATCCACGATGAGAATCTTGGATCAGTGGCCTCCTGCACACCCCCTAATGGGCATGGAGCCCGCAACCCGGGCCTGTGCCCCGACTGGGAGTCCAACCCTGACCTCCGGGTTCCTAGTCGACGTTCGGCCCCTGAGCCACGGGGGCCAGCAGCACTGGCGTTTGTAAGCGGCAGAGGAGTTGTGTAAGGACCACGGAGGACACAGGGCAGCACGGCCACAGCCACACGTGGGAGCGCGCTCTTACAGGGAAAAGCCGGGAGGGAAAGCACCGGCTGGCGGAAGCCTGAGGTTGTGCACGCCCGTCCTGAGGGTCCTCGGCAGGGACGGCCCCTCATGGCGCCCTGGCCGCGCCCGGGGCCCCGGTCCGGCCGCCGCCCTCCCGGCCGCCCGGCGGACACACAGGCCCCCGGTCCTAACGCCGTCCTGTCCTTCTCTCTCTCCGCCCACAGGATCGGGAGGCTCTTCGACGGGACCGAGCCCGCCCTCCCGGCCGCCCGGCGGACACACAGGCCCCCGGTCCTAACGCCGTCCTGTCCCTCTCTCTCTCCGCCCACAGGATCGGGAGGCTCTTCGACGGGACGGAGCCCATCGTGCTGGACAGCCTCAAGCAGCACTACTTCATCGACAGAGACGGGCAGATGTTCAGATACATCCTGAACTTCCTGCGGACGTCCAAGCTCCTCCTCCCCGACGATTTCAAGGTGAGGGATTCGTGTTACGTTTAGCGGCACACACACGCGGTTCCTTCTCACGCACCCCCTCCCCTCCCGCGTCTCTCTGACGCTGTGCGTTTCCACGCGCACCAGCTCGGAGGGCCCGGTGAAATAGGGCAGGTGGCCGTCAGGACTTGCGTGAGCAGCAGGGGTCCACTCGCTACGTAAGGAGCCCAACCCCCCCTCACGTGAGCTAATCCCACACCTGACTCCGGCGTCCTAACGAGGCGGAGGGAGGAGAGGCGCCTCGGCTTCACGGAGACTGTGAAGAGGAGAGTACAGAGCCATCCCTCCTGCCTGCAGCCAGGGGGCCGCACCCTTTCCCGAGAGAGCAGATGGCGGGGCGCAGCCAATGGAGGGGCGCAGCCGATGGAGGGGGATGGAGGGGCGCAGCCGATGGAGGGGGATGGAGGGGCGCAGCCGATGGAGGGGGATGGAGGGGCGCAGCCGATGGAGGGGGATGGCGGGGGATGGAGGGGCGCAGCTGAAGGAGGGGGATGGCGGGGGATGGAGGGGCGCAGCCGAAGGAGGGGGATGGAGGGGCGCAGCCGAAGGAGGGGGATGGCGGGGGTTGGAGGGGCGCAGCCGATGGAGGGGGATGGAGGGGCACAGCCGATGGAGGGGGATGGAGGGGTGCAGCCGATGGAGGGGGATGGAGGGGCGCAGCCGATGGAGGGGATGGAGGGGCGCAGCCGATGGAGGGGGATGGAGGGGCACAGCCGATGGAGGGGATGGAGGGGCGCAGCTGATGGAGGGGGATGGAGGGGCGCAGCCGATGGAGGGGGATGGAGGGGCGCAGCCGATGGAGGGGATGGAGGGGCGCAGCCGATGGAGGGGGATGGAGGGGCGCAGCCGATGGAGGGGATGGAGGGGCGCAGCCGATGGAGGGGGATGGAGGGGCGCAGCCGAAGGAGGGGGATGGCGGGGGATGGAGGGGCGCAGCCGATGGAGGGGATGGAGGGGCGCAGCCGATGGAGGGGCGCAGCCCAGGGCAGGGCAGGGCAGGGCAGGGGCAGCCCGAGCTCCAGGAGCCAATGGACGCCATGAACGGGCCCAGTTCCGTTTAAAGCCTGTGGGCGGGAAGGGGCTGGCGCTGACATGCAGAGGAAGGAGGGGCCCGGACCCCCAGCCCTGGGTGCCCAGCTGGACGCGGGCTGCCCCCCCAGCCTCTCCTCGGAGCTGTGGGCAGCGAGCGGTGCCGGTCCCGGTCAGGCTCACTCCTCGGGGTTCTGGTTTGGTTGTTCACGGTAATGTGGTGTCTCTTCCCGTCCTAGCTGGTTCCTGCTGGTCTATAGGGAAGCCACCGATTGCAGTATGTTGACCCAGATTTTAGATGGCTTAAGGAGTTCTTTATCAGTTCTACTTGTATTTAGTTGATTCTTTTTTAAAACATATGTTTTACTGTTGGCAATAGTACAGATACCACACACTTCCAGCCCTGCCCAGTCCCTTCACTCCCTTTTGCCCGGGCCCGTGGCTGTGCATGTTAGCAGACACACTCTTTGGTTTATCCCTTCTCGTCCCCCCGACAAGGCCCTCGGCGGGTCCTTAGGACCTCCCGTTTAGGGAAACGTGAGCCTTTGAGGACACGTGTGTGTGTTCCCTCCCGGGGAACGGTCCTGTCTGGTCCAAGCCCACTGCCTGTAGCAGCCGGCTTCCCGTGGGGCTCCCGGCACACCGGGTGCTGACTCGACAGCCAGCAGTTCGGAAATCCTGCTGCCCAGTGCAGCGTCTCCAAGTCCCTGGGCTGGGGGCCACAGGGCTTCATTCCTGTGAACCCTCAGGAGAGGGCCCGCCGGGGCCCTGACACTCAGCTCCTGTCTAGTCCCGGACGGACGTGCGAATGCAGACGGACCCTGTGCGGGTGTGCGTGAGGGGACACGCTCCCCCCGATCCCATGATCGAAGCAGCAGATGGAAAGCTCAGCTCCTGTGAGGGCCGCTTTCGGTCCCTGTCGTGTGTGCACCGTGACGTGTGCGCGCGCACTGTGTCATCATGTGTGTGCACTCTGACGTGTGTGCACCATGATGTGTACGCGCACTGTGACATCATGTGTGTGCGCTCTGGCATGTGTGTGCACCGTGCCGTGTGCACGCACTGTGACATCATGTGTGTGCGCTCTGACGTGTGTGCACTGTGACGTGCACGCGCAGTGTGACATCATGTGTGTGCGCTCTGACGTGTGTGCACTGTGACGTGCACACGCAGTGTGACATCATGTGTGTGCGCTCTGACGTGTGTGCACCGTGCCGTGCGCACGCAGTGTGACATGCATGTGCGCGCACCGTCACGCGTGTGCTGTCTCCCGCAGGACTACACGCTGCTGTACGAAGAGGCCAGGTATTTCCAGCTGCAGCCCATGCTGCTGGAGCTGGAGCGCTGGAAGCAGGACAGGGAGGCGGGCCGCATCTGCAGGCCCTGCGAGTGCCTCGTGGTGCGGGTGGCCCCCGACCTGGGGGAGCGGATCACGCTCAGCGGGGACAAGTCCCTCATCGAGGACGTGTTCCCCGAGATCGGCGACGTGATGTGCAACTCGGTCAATGCGGGCTGGAACCACGACTCCACACACGTCATCCGGTTCCCGCTCAACGGCTACTGCCACCTCAACTCCGTGCAGGTGCGTGCGGCCCCGGCGTGGACGCCGCCCCGGTGCCCGCCCTCCCCGGCCTGGGGGCCCCCCCCTGTGTGGACGCCGCCCCGGTGCCCGCCCTCCCCGGCCTGCGGGCCCCCCCCTGCGTGGACGCCGCCCCGGTGCCCGCCCTCCCCGGCGTGGACGCCGCCCCGGTGCCCGCCCTCCCCGGCGTGGACGCCGCCCTGGTGCCCGCCCCCCCCGGCGTGGACGCCGCCCTGGTGCCCGCCCTCCCCGGCGTGGACGCCGCCCCGGTGCCCGCCCTCCCCGGCGTGGACGCCGCCCCGGTGCCCGCCCTCCCCCGGGGTGGACGCCGCCCCGGTGCCCGCCCTCCCCGGCGTGGACGCCGCCCCGGTGCCCGCCCTCCCCGGCGTGGACGCCGCCCCGGTGCCCGCCCTCCCCGGCCTGCGGGCCTCCCCTGTGTGGACGCCGCCCCGGTGCCCGCCCTCCCCGGCCTGCGGGCCTCCCCTGTGTGGACGCCGCCCCGGTGCCCGCCCTCCCCGGCCTGCGGGCCTCCCCCTGCGTGGACGCCGCCCCGGTGCCCGCCCTCCCCGGCCTGGGGGCCCCCCCCCCCGGCGTGGACGCCGCCCCGGTGCCCGCCCTCCCCGGCCTGGGGGCCCCCCCCCCCCGGCGTGGACGCCGCCCCGGTGCCCGCCCTCCCCGGCGTGGACGCCGCCCCGGTGCCCGCCCTCCCCGGCCTGCGCGGGCCTCCCCCGGAGCGGGAGCCGTCCTGGGGTGGGTGACCCTTTCCCCCTCCACATCCCACAGGCGTGTCCTGGGTCAGCCCTGAGCCGGGTGCGCCTGCAGAGAGGGGGGAGGGTGGAGCTCCCGATGCGGGAATGGAGGGGCCGGGCACAGTGTGGTCCGCAGAGAGGAGGAGGGGGGGGTGTGGGATAACCCAGCCGCTCCAGCCCCGCACCGGAGCGTGGCCAGGCCGCCCGGGACTCGCACGGGAGGGGGAGGGGGCGGCCCCTGCGGCTAACGCAGTGTGTGTGTGTGTGTGTGTGTGTGTGTGTCCGCAGGTGCTGGAGCGGCTGCAGCAGCGGGGCTTCGAGCTGGTGGGCTCCTGCGGGGGCGGCGTGGACTCCTCCCAGTTCAGCGAGTTCGTGCTGAGGCGGGAGCTGCGGCGGCCGCCCCGCGGGCCCTCCGTCATCCGGATAAAGCAGGAGCCCCTGGACTGAGCGGCCCCGCGGACAGGAGGCACCCCCACGCCCGGCGGGCCGCACCCCGAGGAGGGAGCTCCTGTGCGGCCGGGACGTCCCGGACGAGCGGTGACTCAGAGACCGTTCTATCCGTAGAGACCACGCTGTATTCACATGGGAGCAATTGGAATAGGTGATAGCCTCCAGGTGTAAAAATATATAAATATATATATACGTCCAGAGGTAGGAAGCGCAAGGAAAAGGGAGGGGAGCTGCAGTCGGTGCCGTGACGGCGGGGGGTCCGGGCCCCGCGTCCGACGGGGAACCAGCCACGGCCGGGCCTCTCACAGCCGCCCGCCTGCGTTTCCCCTCTTCATCCTTCTTCCTCTGTTTTCTTTTTTTCCAACACAACACCCGGCCTCCGCTCCTGGCAGCCGGGGGTCCTCGGGGCGGGCCGGAGGGTGTCGGCCCGGACGCCGGGCGCCCTCGATGCAGAGTGGCCTGCTGGCCCCTCGCTCGCAGGTGTGGGCGCTTCTTGGTCCTCGGCCGATCCGTTCCGCAAAGGGCCCAGAATTAGTACTTGTTAGAGGCACACCGGTTTGAGTCTGCTGCTTTCCTACGGTTTTTCAAATTTTATAATGTATTAAATACAATAAACTCTGTTTAAAAAAGAAGGCCTGTTGGGGTGAAGCCATATTAAAGTGACCTTTTCCTTTTCTAAATGTTCTGTGTGGAGCATCAAAAAGAGGCCCAGCCGGCGTGGCTCAGTGGTTGAGTGTCAGACCTACGAACCAGGAGGTCAGGGTTCGATTCCCGGTCGGGGCACCTGCCTGGGTTGTGGACTCCATCCCCACAACCAAGTGGGGGGCGTGCAGGAGGCGGCCGATCCATGATTCTCTGTCATCATGGATGTGTCTCTCTCTCTCTCTCCCTTCCTACAGAAATCAATAAAACTGTATATGTTTTTAAAAAGAGACCTAAAAAGAGAGGCCGGAGGTCAAAACCCCCTGACGGGGGAGGATGCGGTCCCCTGTCTACACAGCGCGGCCCAGCCAGGGTGGCCCCGCGTTGTTAGCCCACACTGGGCACGGGAGGGACCGCCCTTCCGAGCGCTCCCAGTGTCCGCTCCCGGCTGCAGAGCAGAGCACCCAGCACAGCGCTTCCGGCAGCAGCTCACCCGGTGACGCGTCCTCTCGGGGACTGGCCGGGATGTCACGGTGGCGCCCCGGGGCTGCCATGGGCATTGGCCTGGGCCCGCACGGCACGGGAGCCGGGCTCCAGGGGGCAGTGTCGCACACTCAGGGCCTCCAGGAGGGAGGCAGCAGAGGCCGGCGGCCAAGGTCCCCTGAGGGTGGGCCGGGACCTGCCCCAGGCCTCTGCAGCGGCCGCTGGTGCGGCAGACCGGAGCCAGCCCAGGTTAGAGGGACGGAGAGAGCACCCCCTGCTGGGGGAGTGACAGCGACTTCTCAGCCACCTGGGACCTATCGGCAGCCTGTCCTGGAGACCCGGAGCAGGGTTCGGTGGCTCCGGGAGGAGTAGGGGAATCTCAGGGCCAGACGATCCTCCTCATTGGCCAGCGAGTAGGAAACGGGGTCCCAGGACCACTTGGGGGCAAAGCCCTTGGCTGAGCGGTTAGCAATTCCAGGCTCCTCCGCAGCCCTGCCACCACCGCCGCCTCCTTCCAGACACACAGCGGACTTGGCACGGCGGGAGACGGACAGGTAGACGTGGGACGGCGGGAGATGGACAGGTAGACGTGGCACGGCGGGAGATGGACAGGTAGACGTGGGACGGCGGGAGATGGACAGGTAGACGTGGAATGATGCTGATGGACAGGTAGACGTGGAATGATGCTGATGGACAGGTAGACGCGGCACAGCGGGAGATGGACAGGCAGGTGACACTGTTTCTGCCGCAGACACGCTCTGGTGGTGACGGCTCTTTCCATCCTGAACTTCCTTTTTTAAATGAAAAGTCTGAGCAGAGGACAGGAGTCGTGACAATGTCTCTGCTTCCGAAGTGAACGGAAGCTGTGAGTGGCTCTTCTCACCCCAGACACAGAGATGCCCCAACACTCGGTCCCTGGGACGCCTGCTGCCGGCTTCTGCCGCGGCCGTGAACTTCCTGCGTCTGAGACGAAGACCGCGCAGGGGCAGAGATGGTGTGGGGTGCGGCTGGATCATGGGGAAGAGTGAACATTCTAGAAAGGGAAGGTGGAATTGGACGGAGCGGGGGTCTTGAGCGCCAGGCTGGGGCGACTCTGTGCAGGAGCTGGAGAGCCTCGGAGGGCGGGCCAGTGGGCGTTCTGGGCCCGCAGAGCTGACGGCGGGAGCAGCCAGGCGGGCGGTGGCAGCGAGCTGGCTGCTCCCCATGCCGTCCATCACAACCGCCCTGGCTCGGCGCTGAAGCCGAAGACATCGCTGGGTGCAGGGTGACCAGTGCAGGTCCTCCGAGGGCCCAGTGAGTCACACCCACTAGGCGAGGCAAGCGAGAGCGGGTGTGCCCCGTTCCCGGGCAGCCCCCCAGTGCCACAGGCTCCCCCACAGGGAGCAGCGCCTGCCACTTGCCCTCTTGTTTTTCTGGAAAAGCTGGAAACCCTGGTTCTGGGAAATCTCTAGACACGCCGATGGCGGAGCCAGCTCATCCTCCCAAACGCACAGGCCGAGGAAGACATCTGCAAGTGATGGGACAGCAACGCCGTTTCAGGCATTCTCGAAGAATCCCATCTGGTGGACTCGTGAGACGGCACAGAGTTAAATTGTTGGAGGACATACATGTTATAAATGAAAATCGGAGGCAAACGCTTAGGCCTAATGCCATTTGACTGGAGAGAGTAAAGCCCTGGCATACGCCTGCCAATAGTGACCAACAGCTGCCCTCACGCTGGGGGCGCGGGGGGCAGAGGGGTCAGGTCACCCACAGGACGTGTGCGCGTGCCTGTGAGCATCACCAGCGGACATGGGCCAGAGGGGCCGCGCCTGGGCTCGGTTCCGTCTGAATCCCGGCGCCACACCAGAGCGCGGTCACTCTGCCATTGGCAGCTGCGGTGCATCCGTCACAGACTCCAGACGAAAGTCACCACGGCAGCTCACCACCGTGAGGCTGGGGTTACTGACGGCTTCAGGACCCCGAAGCCATGAGAAGGGTGCCATCCGACCTTGTCACTGGTAAGCAGCTCCTCTCGGTAAACGCTGAAAACAAATCCTGGTCTCGGAAGCGGCACAGGCGCTGGGAGAGGCGCCGGGCCAGAGGGCACGGCCTGCGCCCGGGCTGGGACCAAGGGCGTCTGAAGGCCGCGCTGGGGCAGCGGGAGTGAGGCTGGCCCTCCCGGGGGCAGAGGAAGGCACCGGCCGGCAGGAGGCCACAGCTGCTCAGGGGCCCGCGATGACGTTTCTCACCTGCTGATCTTCAGCTGAAACACGGCTTCTTTATTTAAATTACCCTTTTCCTCAAAGTCATAGTCTCAAATATCTGGTCTCTAACATCTATTACCACCTAAAGTGTTGGAATTCTGTTCCGTGGGTTACATGTTCACAAAACTAACTCGTTATACCTCTTACTTGAAGCAGAATGTTCTAAGATGGAGCACTGGTGAAAAGGCGCAGTTCACAGTCATAGAGGACGAGAGAACACCGTCTCTCACAGCAACAGAGCATGAGGCCATGGGAACTACAAGTGGAAGAAATTGTCAGGAGATCCAGGCAGATGACAATGATTGCCAGCGATTTCAGCACAGCTCTCTCCACAATTAATCCAGAAAGTGCAGAGACCGGTGAGGAAACAGATGACTTGAACGACCCTAAAGACATAAAGAAAGAAACAAGCCAGCTCTGGCCAGTGTGGCTCAATGGATAGAGCGTCGGCCTGCAGACTTAAGGGTCCCAGGTTCGATTCCGGTCAGGGGCATGAACCTTGGTTGTGGGCACATCCCCAGTGGGGAGTGCGCAGGAGGCAGCTGGTGGATGTTTCTCTCTCATCAGTGTTTCTAACTCTCTATCCCTCTCCCTTCCTCTCTGTAAAAAAAATCAATAAAATATATTTAAAAAATAAAAAGAAACCAGCTAAGTCACAACAAGGCTGTTTTCTAACCGCAAAGGTATTAAATGTGAAGTCACTAACAAAAAGGTCTCTCTCTGCAACCTCCACAAAGATTTGAAAAGGAAATCGTACATTTTTTTAAAACTACCCCGGGTCACGGGAGACACGGAAAGGACAATGGGAAGCAGTGAGCTACACGGGGGATTCTGCCTCAGGAGCACACACACCGGCACCAGAGAAGACGGCCCTTCCCACCGGGAACCCCAGTCCCACCTCCAGAAACTGGAAAAGCGGCCAGTGAAACCCAAAGCCCGCAGGAGAGCAAACACAGCAATGGCCAGAACAGAAACCAATCCAGTGGGAAGCCAAGCACAACAGAAAAGCACTGAAATCGAAGCCTGCTTCTCCGAGACAGCCAGGGACAGGGGTCACCTGTGGCACCCCGGCCGGGGACACAGCGAGGACAGACAAGACCCGAATGAGCTGGGCAGCCAATCAATGAAGGAGCCCGGATGCGGAGCCAGGCCTGGCCACGGCCACGCCCAGGCCCCACGGACTCAGGGTTCAGAGCGGCACCCCGGACTGACAAACAGGTTGAGTGTTGCTCGTGTCACGTTTTCCTGGATCCCTCAAAGGGTCTCTAAAAGTGTAGTAGCTTTCCAAATGACCCCTCGGCAGCCCACACACTGCCAGCAACACCTGTGTGTGTATTTGTTACTCTCTAGAAATCTAGAGTCTAGATGAATTTGTAATGAATTTCTTTTAAATTACCTTTTTTTAATTTGACAAATTGCCTGACTTTAAACATAAAATATATTACCGTATTTTTCGGACCATAAGACGCTCCGGACCATAAGACGCACCAGTTTTTAGAGAAGGGAAATGAAGAAAAAAAGATTCTGAAACAATAGTGTCCTAAAATATTTTATGTGCATTAAAACCCAACATCACAGTCATAAACACATGTAATCAACCCTGTAAAGTAAACAGCAGCATTTAGAACCATTTTAGAGCCGGGCAAGCACACAGAGACCACACAGAGCCGGGCAAGTAAAAAAACTTTATTTTAAAGGTATATGTGTAGGCTGTATTTGGACCATAAGACGCAGGGACTTTTTCCCCCCACTTCTGGGGGGGAAAAAGTGCGTCTTATGGTCCGAAAAATACAGTATTTTAAAATAGATTCTTCAATTCTGTCCTTTGTAAAGCAGAGTGTTTGCCAGAAAAACAAACCTAAGTCTGGCTTGTATTCCGGGGGCCCTCCAGCCTGGTCGCACCCCAAATCCCAGCGCTGTGCGGTGTAGACGGGCTGCCCGCTCTGCGTAGGCGAGGCGGGAAAGGACTGCGGGTTAATCAAACGACCGGACGGGCGGAAGAAAGAAACTGAAACAGATCTTCCCGCCGCCTCTCGGCCTGAGCGAGGCTGATGGATGAGCTCATCTTCCACACAAAATAGCCTTTGTCTCCTCTCCCTGGCGGCCGCTGCAGAGAGGGCGGTAGGGTTTGCCTCAACTTGTCCACTCGCGCGGGAGCGGCTCATTTTCAGGGTCACGCTGCAGGCAGAATGTTTCCTGAGATCTGCCGTGGTTTCCGTGTTAGCCGCTCCGGCCCGGACTTCCACATGAGCACAGCCAAGCCCCCGGGAGCCGGAGTGACAGCCCAGACCCACCGGCGCCCTTCGCCTCGGCCCAGTGGGCGAACATCTCCCGCATTTGCTCACCTGCTCCGGGTGTCTCTGCTGAGCCTTTGAGAATGCATGGCAGCCATCCGGACATGCACCCGCGCACCGCAGCCTGAAGTCGCCTAAGACCAGACTCCTCCAGAAGGGCCAAGAATCTCTGTGACAATCTCTCTCTCTCTCACACACACACACACACACATACTCACACTCATACAACACACACACTCAAACTCACACACTCAGACACACACACACACACACACACACACACACTCAAACACAGTCACACACACACTCAGACACACACACGCTCACTCAAACACACGCAGTCACACACACACTCACGGTGTCCATGTTCAGGTTGCCCCACTGCCCCAGGGACTTTGCTTGGAGCGGTCTGGGACCCGCCCTGGGGCCGGTCACGGACACACGGTGCCTGCAGCCCCTCTTGCTGAGCACGTTGAACCCACAGGAAACAGCGTCGGACTTCCCACTCACACGCAGCAGGAATCTCAGGCAAACGAGAGCTCCATCTTGGAGTTGACTCAGAAGCAATAACCTTGAAGTCAAGTCCCCGCACAGACCCACTTCCAAAAGGCGAAGGAGCTGCTGCATTAAGTCACACGTTAGCATAAAAGACCTAACTCACTGAGAAATGGCGAGGGCACTGCAGTCCTCACACACACCATAAGCCAATGGCGGGGTGGGGGGGGACGTCCATCTGTCCCAACCTCCCATTATCTGTGAGTCAGGAGCCCCATTTTGTGGCAGAAAGGAGACGGAAGAGGAGCAGACAGGGACCGAGAGACACATGGGAGGTGACCGCAGCTGCCAGGAGGAGGAGGGCAGACTCCTGAGAAATTCCCAGCCCCTGTAGGAGAAGGGCGAGGGGTCCCGGCCTTAGCTAAGGCACAGCTTTTCCAAAGAAAGGGCTGCAGTCACACTTGGGTCTGCAGGGAGTCTGGACCCAAGTTGGCGTGTTCAAACAAAGACCAGCACGGCCAGCCCCCACTCCAGACTGACCACTTAAGATCTTGGGGTTTTAGACTTATTTTTATTGATTTCAGAGAGCAAGAGGGAGAGAGAAACATCAATGATCAGGATCATGACCGGCCTGCATGCCCCCTACTGGGGATGGAGTCTACAACCCAGGCCTGTGCCCTGAACGGGAACTGAGCTGTGATCTCCTGTTCATGGGGTGATGATCAACCACTGAGCCACACTGGCCAGGGTAAGGATACTGGTTTCAAATGTAGAGACCAAACAGTTATCCTTCTAATAAAATAATTATTTTAATGAAGTATTTGAAATAATTTCAAACATCTGATCAATAAGATTATACACAAATATGAGAATATGCCACAAAAAAATAAAGTTAAGCATTTAAATATACAAAAAAAATTTAGGTATAGATCTCTTCGTAAAGTACTCTTAACATATACATAGTTTATAGCACGTCCACAGTAACTTCTGGAACGAAAGACGGGCCACTCTGAGGCTCGCCTGAGCGGTGTGGCCGTGACAATCCCCGGAGGAGGGCGGAGGCCCCACTGGAGGGCTTTCCCCTGAGTCCTCTGGGTTAGAGGCAGCGCTGGCCCACTTCTGTGGGACTTTCTTGGAGTGTACTCTCCCCCTGTGACTGATTACAGCGACCATTTGTCAGCAGCCACACGGTGGCATTTAAAACAAAACAGCAAAACAAAGCAGGGTCTGCTTAAGTGAAATCAGCCTCGTGGGCGAGCCTAGAACATGCTTCTCAGCTGCACGTGGAGCCGAGCCCAAGAGCTGCCAGCCCTGCACTGGGTCTAGAGCCCCCCCAGAGTCCTGTTAAAACCTTTACGTCAGCAATTAGGATTTCTTTAATGCAACAAGGTGCCTAAAACACAGGGCAACTAAAAGAGTTTACAAAACTGTCCTTGAGGTTAAAGCGATCACAGAACAGAGAACTTGGTTTTGGAGACTGCAGATTCGAACATTGCGAACATACCCTTTGCTCAGGCTGGCTGTTTTCTGTCAACAAAACACGGCCTGAGCTCTGGGCCCGACTCGCCCCCTGCCCTGCCCTGCCCTGCCGCAGGCACAGGCGGCCACTTCTGGCTTCTGCTCCTCTTCCTCCTCCCTGCTCAGTGTGGCCGGGCCTTCAGCCCTGGTCCGCTCCGCCTTCTCCGTCTGCAGTGAGGTATGTCAGCAGCTACACCGTCAGCTTTCCCCAGCGAGCTGGCCTCCTGTGGCCGCAGCCGCATCATGTGAACGGAGGACAGCAGCTCAGCACACGGTCCCCTAGGTCCCACCGGGCCCCGTCTGACACGGGACTCAGCGGCCAGTGGCACGGCCTACCCCTGTGGCTGGTCACCTTCAGCATCAGGAGGCGGCTAAGCAACGGGTTCCACAGAGCCCTGGGGAGACACCGCCAGCGGCCCCGCCCGGCACCCCGCCAGCGGTGCTGGGACGCCGGGAGAGCCCGCCCGGCTGGCAGTGCGGCGAGCACAGCCGAGGGCAGGGCTCTGCCCAGCGGTCCCCGCACAGGAGCATGCCTGCGCCTGTGTGACCGTCACGGCCGGTTCCCAGGTGCACGTAAGTAACGGAAGTTCCTGACTGTAAACAAGGGCCCGGTGCTGAGCCCCACAGGGAGTTCCGGGCCGAGCCTTCGCCCTCGGCGGGAGGAGGCCTCACTTGAGAAGCGCGAGGTAGAGGGCGCGCGAGTGCTTCATGTCCCGCTCCTGCTCCATGCAGAACACCAGGTCCCGCAGGCAGACCCGCGTGGCCCGCGGGCGGGGCAGCTGCCTGCTGCCTGCCAGGCCGCAGGTCCCGGGAGCCAGAGGTTTGTCCTTCAAGCCCTGAACAGAGGAAAGGGAGAACGGGTTACAATAAGCTCAGCCACTGGTCAGTGCCGCAAGGCCCCGCCTGCTGCTCACCCAGCTCAGGACCCACATCCTGGGCTCCCGGGCCACGCGCAGCTTCCTACCAACTTCTCTGCCGCACAGCCTGTCCTCTCTGAAGGGCTGGGACACGACTTTCGGGAATAACGGGGAGGCCAACAGTTTTGAGTGAGGTGACTCCACAGGGGCGTGTGCAGGTAAGCCCTGTCAGAGCTCCCACTTTGAATGCGGGCGGTCTTCTGCACATTATCCATATAATAAAAACCTAAGCAACCATACGGCAGAGCAACCAGAACGACCAGTCACTATGATGTGCACTGACCACCAGGGCAGACGCTCAATGCAGGAGCTGCCCCCGGTGGTCAGTGCGCTCCCACGGGGAGCACTGCTCGGCCAGAAGCCCAGCTCACAGCCGGCAAGTGCAGAGGCGGTGGCAGGAGCCTCTCCCGTCTCTGCGGCAGCACTAAGGAGCAGCAAGCAGGTGGGTGGTAGGGAACCAGGGTCCAAGTCTGTGAGAGGGCGCAGGCTGGGCTGAGGTCTCTAGATTTTGTGTACCAGGCCTCTAGTCTATATATATAAAAGGCTAATATGCAAAGTGTCCCCTTGGGAGTTCGACAGGGAGAACGGGAGTTCGATCACTTGCTGTGACGGGGGTGGCATGGAACATTGACGGGCAACCGGAGGCAGTGGGGTGCTGAGGGAGTGAAGGAAGGAGGAGGCAGGGATGCGGGGAACCTGATTGGCCCAGAAGGGCCCTGATCGGAAGCCAGGCCGAGGGACCCTACCTGTGTATGAATTTCACACACCGGGCTGCTAGTTATAGAAATAAAAGGGAAAGACGTAAGCAGTTCAGATCCCACCGCACTAGGTCCCAAATACCTCTTGTTCCGTTACTACTCTTTTAGAGCCACAAACTCTAATCATTCCCTCACATTTTTGTTTGTTTTGTTTTGATGGAGAGGAGGAAGTCCCACGCTACGGTCTCCAAAACATTAGGGTCAAAACAAGTCAGCTTCCATAGCTCCCCTTGTCCTGAGAAGCTCCTTGAGTTCTATTGTGACGGTATCTACAAATCACCTGAAGATGAGGAAATGTGTAGCTAGCGATGGACATACTTTGAATAAAGCATTTTTTATGTTTCTCTTGAAATTATTGTGTTTTCTTTGATTACAAAATCCGCATTTTTAACCGGCACACAAGGTATATACTATGGGATACGATGCAGCCATGAGAAAAGATGAACTGCTGCCGTTGGGGACAGCGTGGACCTTGAGAATACCGTGCTAAGCAAAGTAAGTCAGACAGAAAAGTCAAGAACCTTATGATGTCACTCATATGTGGGCTATAAAGCTGAAAGCAACAAACGAACAGATAAGGAAAACAAACAGAAACCTCAGATACAGACAACAGCATGGTGGTTATCAGAGGGGCGTGAGTGGCAGTAAATGGAAAGGGGGTCAAATACAAGGTGACAGAAGATCTGACTTCAGGCGGTGGGCACACAGGCAATACCCATGTGGTGTGTCCTAGGTTTGTACACCTGAAACCTTTAACATTTCATTAACCAATGTCACCCCAATACATTTAATAAAAAAATGAATGAAACCCAATACACCTATATTAAGACAGTGTTCTAAATATCAATGTATACCTTCCACTATTTAAAAAGTAAGATTGGGCTGAAACCGGTTTGGCTCAATGGATAGAGCATCGGCTTGGGGACTGAAGGGACCCGGGTTCGATTCCGGTCAAGGGCATGCACCTTGGTTGCGGGCATATCCCCAGTAGGGGGTATGCAAGAGGCAGCTGATCAATGACTCTCTCTCATTGATGTTTCTAACTCTCTATCTCTCTCCCTTCCTCTCTGACAAAATCAATAAAATATATTAATAAATAAATAAATAAATAAATAAATAAATAAAAAGATTGGAAGAAAAAATAAAAAATACAGAATTCCTAGACAAAGGGTAGTTTTATGGAAAAGTCCTCAATTCTCTCTTTTTTTTTTTTTTTTTTTTTTTTTTTTTGTGCCACATTTCATTTCAAAAACATCTTGATCGGGTGGGAACTTCCTTTCTCCCCCGAAGACTTACACAGGAGATGCTCCCCTGACGTAGGAAGCAGACCTGGTTCAGTTACTATTGTATACTTCTGTGACCATCCATTATCATTATTCCCTCTACATTTTTTTTAATGGAGGGGAGGAAAGGCCTTCACATGATCTCCGAAATCACTATGGTCCAAACAAGTCAATTTTTTAAAATTTTTAAATCCTCACCAGAGGACATTTTTTCCACTGATTTTTAGAGTGGAAGAACACAAAGAGAGAAACATCAATGTGCAATACACACACTGATTGACAAGGCTCATGCCTTTAACCTGAATCGAACCAGAGACCCTTCCGTCTGAGGGGCGAAGCTCTAACCTATGAGCCAACAACGGCCTGATCAAGTCAACAATCTATACATATTCACAGAATGCCTGGGGGCATCTATCTAATGGTCAAATAAAATTTCCTTAGAAGATACTATTCAGTTTGGGGGAACGTGATGTCACCACATTTCTGCATGCCTTAGGTGGAACCTGGAACAAAGTGTGGCTTGCCGCTCCTGCAGGCTGTTGGTCATGAGCCATTTGTACAGACACAGGCGATGTCAGCCAGGAGTGGCGTCAGGCTCCAGCCGCCTCCTCCCTGCCCGCACTGCCCCCTGGAGGTGCTGTAACGCAGGGGTCATCTCCCCTACTATACATGACCAGCATGGAAACCTTTCCATGAGATTCTGCAGAATGGCCCACCAGCTCGGATTAAAAAGTGCACATTAGGAAGAGAGTGAAGCAGGGGTGTCATGGGCAGTGAGTGGCAATTCTGTTGCTGATTGGAATTATCTGTTTAAAGTTATACAGTACATTAAGCAGAGAATTTCTCTTAGTCAAAAATTGGTTACATTATGCTAAAACTGAGTCTCTATATATTCACAAATGTTTTCTACCTGGAGTTTTCCCCAAATCAGTCATTTAGTGTTTTATATGAATTGTGCAATTAAACGGTTAGGTGGACGCACTCTGCTGGGCAATTCTACCTCAATGTAAATGCCCAGGAACATGTCCTCTGTCCCCCTAAAGACATGTTTCTAGTTTGGGACATGCCAATCCCAAACCAGAAACCACTCAAAGCCCATTAAGAGTAGAATAGCCAAAACCAGTTTGGCTCAGTGGATAGAGCTGTCAGCCGACAGTCTGAAAGGTCCCAGGTTCGATTCCGGTCAAGGGCATGTATGTACCTTGGTTGCGGGCACATCCCCCCCCAGTAGGGGTGTGCAGGAGGCAGCTGATTGATGTTTCTAACTCTCTATCTCTCTCCCTTCCTCTCTGTAAAATAAAATCAATAAAATATATTTTTTTAAAAAAAAGAGTAGAACAGATAACAGTGAGCAGTCACACAAATGGGACACCACACAGCAGCAGCAAGCTGGGAGCATCACAGAAATGCTAGGTGGAGGCGGCAGACACGGGAATATAAGCCGTTTGAGCCCATTTCTCTGTAGGTAAACAGGCCTGGCAGAGGGAGGACAGAGGCCCGAGGGAGAGGAAGGTGTGGGAGGTGTGTTGGTGATGTTCTCACTGGAAAATCAGAGCCTCGGCCTGGGCCCATGTGACATACTTCCAACAGAAGAAGCACGTAGCCAAACCCTTGGTTAGGTGGGAAGTAAAAGGGGGAGTAAAGAGGGAAAAAGAGAAAAGGAAACAAAGCACAATTGTTAAGCAGAAAACATGTACAAAGGCCTAATGATCTGGGAAAGGAACAAAGGGGTCACAGGTCACGCGTGTCACGTGACAAGCCTGAAGGGCCGGGGCAGAGCCACGTGGCAGCTGCCGGCACAGGGTTGAAAAGCAGGTCACGCCGACAGGATGCGGCAGCGCCCGGGGCAGGGTTCTAAATGAAGCCACCGGGACACGCCGCCGACAGAAGGGCCTTTCAGCTTCCCACTGGCCCGCGGTGACAGCAGCCTCCCCCCAGTGACCGCCTGGAAAGCAGCCTTTTGTTCCCGGGCCTGCGTTTTGGGACAGTCCGCTTGCCATTTTCACAGAGACCAGCAGACCATCAGCCACCTCTCCACTGACCACAGGAAGGGGTGGCGGTGTGCACAGGTAAAGCCCTTTCATGGTCAGCTTCCGCCCACCGAGTCCTCTTCCGCCCACCGAGTCCTCTCCCAAGCTCCTTAGCATGGCTCTTCCCGCCACCCTATTCTCTCAAGTCCCGGCTACCTTAGAGCTCGTCTGTCCTGCCACTCTCCTTCATCCCCTCAGTCCCCCCTCATCCTCCCCACACCCCCTTGTCTGTCCCAGTGGCATTTTTAAATGCAGTGGAGCTCTGAATGCCTAAAGCTAACCACTAACTAACGGGCATGTCACACACGCGGCAGCGAGTGGAGGGCGTACCCGGGACAGGCATGCCCCGTGACGGGAGTTCCCCACAAGCTCCTCCAGCCACAGCCAGCAGCTCTCGGCTTGACAGAAGCGACCACAGTTATCAACAGGGTCTCTGGATGCTAATGGCAACCTCCCCTACTCTGCTCCCAAACAGCAGGATCCAGCCCACAGTCTGCGTTCCTGAGACCTGACAGGTAGCCAGGCACAGAAAGGCGATGTGTAAGAGGGCGGGAAAGCTGCATCTGTTTCTCACACCGCCTGCCTGGCTTCGCTCTGAGCCCATGCCACCTCGGCAGCTATAAGGGGAAAGAAAGCAAGAACTGGGCACGGGAGCAGGAGTGAAATGAAGAAATGGCTTCAAAAGAAAAACCAAACCTCTTCTGAGCCCCGGGAGCAGGGTCACCAAACAGCGCCCTGGTGCTTGGCCTGTGTGACAAGAACACAGACACCTCTGCTCCAAAGACCAAGCTTCCGGCCGGAATGACAGCCCGGAGGAGAAGACCGAACGAGGCTGACTGCCCTCTGCT